GAGAACCTAGTGGAACCTTTATAACATCTCGTAGAAGGAATAGAAGACATGCATCTTTTTCTGCCTGCTTCACAGAGAAGAAAACTAAGCGCAAGTCTGCACTGATTTTGCTCTCAGCATCCAGTCGTACAAGCTTGGGATTTTCAAGTCCGGCTTTGGCAAATTCCACGAGACTCTTGGGCAATGTTGCGGAAAACAGCAAAGTCTGTCGGCTCGTTGGCAACCTGCTGAGGATTTCATCCAAGGCGGTTTCGAAACCCATTTCGAAAAGGCGATCGGCTTCGTCGAAGACAACGTATTGGATGGACTTTAAATCAAGATTCATCTCTACGGCCAAATGAAGCAAACGTCCCGGCGTGGCAATGATGCTAAAAAGAAGTCAGATGGAAGTGTCGGTGACAAAACCAGGAACACTCACACATCGGGATTAGAGGTAATCATCTCGAATTGCTCATCCAGTCCTTCACCACCAACAATCAAACCCCAACGAAGAGCTTGACCCTTCGGCTCACTTCCACCCTGCGTATCGCCAGCATGGTCACCTCCTCCACCACCCCATCCACGAGCAAGTTCTTTTCCAACTTTGAGGACTTGAAGGGCGAGTTCTCTGGCAGGTACCATGATTAAAGCACGAGCACCAAAAGATGTGGAATGCCTTCCACCAAGTCTTTGTAGAAGAGGTACCATGTAAGCCAAGGTCTTTCCTGAACCAGTTCGAGCCATTCCTACTACATCTCTTGGAGGGTTCGCAAGTAGACTGGGAATCGTTATTCGTTGAATCGGTGTGGGAACACGATACCCTCTGAGGGTCAGTGCACGCAATAGGGAAGGAAGTAGACCTTCATACAGTCAATATGATTGCATGCAATAAATGAAAATACGAGGCTTACCCATGCTCTGGAAGCTACCTCCTCCGACCTCGCCCTTTGAGATCTTCTTGCCTTTGGCTTTTTTAATTAGTTCGGTCCCGGTTTTAATATTCTGCTTGGACATAGACTCTCGTATAAAATCTTCATCGTCCTCGTTGTCGCTTGCCCCATGTTGCACCCCCATCAACATAGAAGAAATATCGACTTCACCGTCAGAAAGAGGAACCTCATCTATGCTAGATTCGGGAGATTCCTCTCTGACCTCCTTTCCATCCCATTTCCGTTTTACAGCAGGCATTGAAGTAGTAGAAGAAGAAATGAGCGGGAGCAAATTGAAGAGATATTACATAATGAGAAATAATGTCACGCGTGACTTCAGTTTCTCGAAAGGGATGCCGCCACAAAAGTCGACTACTCAATTGCCTGCTGCTCTTCGAGAGCAAATTGAGAGTGAATCTCGTACGTAATGGAACTTCATATATACCTCATTAGTCTATTTAACAATTCTGTAGAAAAAAATACCAGAAAACGCCGAAAGCCAACCCCGGTTAACCGTAAGGAGGCACGCAAACAAGCTCGTCAGGAGCAAAAGCAGCGCAAAGCAGCGTTCTTTTCACAACATCAAGCGAATGATAATGCCAATCTCAAGCGGCCCATAGAAGACCAGGAAGAAGGACCTGCGAAGAAGAAAGCGCGTCATGAAGAAGAGCCCGCGGTCTCGCAACCGATACAAGAGAAGGTGAAGGCTCCTAAGCGAGTGACTGCTAAGCCTGCGGTATCAGATACCAAGTCGAAAGATAAAGAAATATCCCAAAAGCCTGAAGCAAAGGATAAAACGAAGCCCAAACGCTCTCTAGATGAGCTGTTCAAGAAGTCTACGCGAACGCCTCAGGACGAGGCTGAGGAGGCGCAAATTGCGTGGTTAGAGGCAAAGTTGGGACTGAGGGGAAAGAAGAAAGCGACCAGCTTTGGAGATGGATTAGATGGTAATTATATTTCATTCTTATATGCATTGCTTCAGTGTTCTGATTCGATTTCGTATGCAGACCTAATGGCCGACCTTGATAGGATTCTACCCTCAGATCCAGGATTGTCGATGGATATGTCTGATTACGTTAGTTGTTACTTCTTTAATGTTTGGGCTGATCTGACGTGTTACTCTAGGATGGCGAGGAGGATTATGAGGATGGGATGTTAGACGAGGATGAGGAAGAGGAAAGTGCGGGAGAGGATGAGGGAGGGGATGATGAAGACGAGGAAGACGAGGAAAGAAGCGAGGAGAAAGGCGAGGAAGAAGAAGCAGACGAGGAAGAGTTTAAAGGCTTTGGAGACACCACTGAACTTTCCGCGAATTTAGAAGATGAACAAACGGAGGTCTTGGCCTCTGATACCTTGAAGAATTCCGCGACTGCTACAGATGCTGCCTCAACAGGTATACTGTCCCGTAATCTACCTTGATTTTCTTCTAAATTCAGTTCTAGGAACTAAATACGTACCTCCTCATCTCCGAAAGGCTCAAACTGAAGAATCAGAGAGACTACTCAACCTCACCCGACAAATGAAGGGTCTCCTGAATCGGTAAGATTCGAGGCTTGTTGTTTATAACCGCCCACCTTAACTATATTACAATAGAATGAGCGAACAAAATATGGATTCTATCTTACAAACAGCCGAGGAATTATATCGCAATCAGCGGCGAAATGGTATTGTTTATTATTTGGGGTTATTCGACAGTGCTGATATCCTCCGTAGACGTAACAACTACATTAACAAAGTTGATCATCGATGGAATCTCGTTGCATTCTTCATTATTAGATACCTTTGTTGTTTTACATGCAGCCCTGGTTGCAAGTCTGCATAAGATCGTTGGGGTTGATTTTAGTATGTCTTACACTTTAATGACTGCACGCCTACTGATAGGTCATTTTAGCTGGTCATTTCATTCAAACGCTTGTGGAATCTTATGAAAAGCATTATGAGGCCGTGAACGGCCGTGATGCTCCAGAGATAACGGCGGAAAGTGCAGAGACCAAAGGCAAGGAATGCCTGAATTTGATCGTCCTACTCTCCGAGCTCTACAATTTCCAAGTTCTCTCGTGCGTACTTGTATACGACATCATTCGAGGTCTGCTGGAGAAATTGAACGAGTTTGATGTGGAGTTGCTTCTGAAGATTGCCCGGAGTTAGTATTGTTTCCTCGTTTAGTGGTTTATTATATTAACCAGTATATGTGCGCAGATTCCGGACCCCAACTACGACAAGATGATCCTTCTGCCTTGAAAGATATTGTTGATATTGTGCATCAGAAAGTGGCTCAAACGGACAATGGCGCTCTCAGGTTTGCCTTCATATACTTGTCAACAGTAATATCTGATTGATGTATCGTTTTATCAGTTCTCGAACCAAGTTCATGATCGATACTCTGACCCTCTTGAAGAATAACAAGGTCAAGCGGTCGGCAAATCCAGATGGACACACCGAATCTGTCGAGCGGATGAAGAAATTCCTCTCTGGGGTAAGCAAGAAGTACCACGGTAAGCGATACTTTATTATACTTGCGCTGTCTCTCATGTCGGTCTAGTGCTTTCGCATGAACCGCTGCGCGTCACCCTTCAAGATTTACATTCCGCAGATAAACGAGGCAAATGGTGGATCGTTGGAGCGGCTTGGGCTGGCGATCCCTTGGTAGAGCACGCCCGAGCTCAAGAAGAGAAGTCTCAGCCGAAGGTTCAAACCACAACGCCAGGAGATGCTCTAATGAAACTTGCGCGGAAGCAAGGCATGAATACGGATGTACGAAGAAGTATTTTTGTAATCCTTATGAGCAGTGACGTAAGTCTTCAGCCTACCTAGTTATGAACAGACGCTAATACTGCACTTCTCAAGGATTATGTGGACGCATGTGAGCGACTTGGACAGTTGAATTTGAACGAAACACAACAACGGGAAATCATCCGCGTCATTCTCCATTGTTTGGGTAATGTAAGTCTACCAAGGATGAGCCCAATCTCCACCAGAGTTCTCACTCCCTTCGTTATAGGAGAAGCAATATAATCCTTATTATACGCTTACTGTCCAACATCTATGTCAAATCTCGCATTCGCACAAGATCACATTGCAGTATTGTCTATGGGATTTCCTTCGAGAGATGGGTGAGAAGGACGTGGGCGGTGCCGAAATCATCAAGATCTCTCATGAAGACTCTTATGTTGCGTTCGATGAAAAGAAGATCTCTTCTAGTCGACGGTTGAACATTGCAAGAGCCTACGGATGGTGGTTAGCCAAGGGCAGTGTCACTGTAGCAATCCTGAAGGTACTTTTTAGCCCCCTTTGTAGTAGCGCTATTACTGAGATCTTGGTAGCCTGTTGACTTTACGATGTTGCAACCCCACACCCGGGAGTTTCTTCAAAATTTGTTCTACCAGCTTTTCATCAGCTCACAAGTGGCATCGCCAGCTGTGGCTGTGAATGCGGCTGCAGCGAAGTACCTTAAAGACTCTCGTAGCCAGGAAGCCCTCGAGGCGGTTTTCATGAAAGCTACACGGATACCCACCTTAACACATGGCATTCTGTATCTCTTCAAGGGTGTTGTGCGCGGAGAGAATGTATCAGATAATGAAGTGGTCTCAGGGACGATCAGATGGGCCAGAGAAGTCGCACAAGAGACATTAAGAGCTGGTTTAGATCTCGGCGGTTCAATTGATTAATTTATTGTTGTTCTAGTTTTTATGATTGTCTGTCTGCGTCCCACGTTATAGTGTACCTTTACGGCCAGCTCATTCCATATATGCTTAATATAATTTTGAAGAGCAATTGCAATAGGTTTGATGAAAGGGGGAATACGCCGGCAGTTCTTCATTCCTTTTGAAAATATGACTTTATGTTGATCAAACGAAGATTATTCTTTTATAAAATACATTAGACTTCACCCGTAGTATCTCCCATATACACCACGTTGTCCGTGATACAAAAATTAAAGGCAAAGTCAACCGTAGACGGTGCATACGGACTCTCGTCCTCTTCGGTTTTCTGTGCAATCTTTTCCTTACTTATAGCTACGGAGTAGCCGGTATTTATTTGAAATCGTGAAGACCGCTATTTTTTTTGCTCTCTGACAGAGCACAAAAGATACTGCCCCAGAGAGGCTCGAACTCTCGACCTTCCGATTCGATAATCGACCATCGTGGCGTCTTAACAGTCGGACGCTATAGCCAACTAAGCCATGGGGCAGTTAACGGAGGTGGTAGATGGCCGCTATCCGTGTATGTCGACCATAGGTCATATGTATGTGTGCCCACAATGTAAAATAAAATGTACAATGATATCTTTAAGTATCTTTGCTGACTTCGACGATGATCTCTTCTTCTTCTCCCACCTTCCCATCCCAGTCATTCTCCTTCAGGTATGCTATAAAAGATTTATCTTCATCTTCAAAGTCTTTGCCGGTCATCTCAGGAACAAAAAGGTAAGTGACGAGAATACCGGATAGTCCGCAAATGGCTGCGATTATGAATGTCCACCTATGGGATAATCCCAAAGTACATCAGTGAAAATATTACATATTCTCCAGGTCGCGTACCGTTTCCCGAGATTATTTTGGATAGGAACAAAGACCTGCGTTCCAATAACAGCGCCAGCTTTTCCAAATGCTGCAAAAGTCGATCAATGACAGTACATTCTTCATTAAATAAAGTTGCATACCAGCACTGAGTCCAAACAGGGAACCTCGGACGGGGGTTGCATAAGATCTATATCAGTGGTCACCAACTTTGGATTATCAGTCTATGTGAGCTGCTTACTCTGCGCTCACTACGATGGTCATATCTCCCGGACCCTAAAATTCATTCATGGTGGATCCAAGACTCATACGTCAGGCTGACACTTACCAGATTTCCAAAGGAGGCCATGAGTCCATAACTAACATCCAGACTGATTTCAGAATGACGAAGTAACTCAAAGGTTTGAATGCTTACAAAACGATGAACAGAGGAGTTATTCGTGTGATCTTGTCATATGCAAGTCTGCCCATGGACTTGTCTCAACAACTAGACCGTGATCCACGAACACTAGGTACTCGCCCAATTGTCAATCCGAAAACAATGTAGCCCGCGAATCCGAGCATCATCTTCAGAGAGAAAGGTATGAGTATGGACTTCTATTTTATATTTGTATATTTACCGTATTACGCCTTCCCAATATGTTGCACAGAAAGACTCCAAGGATTGCTCCTGACAAAACCGATTAATAGCGTTATATCATACTTGAGCAATTTCAAAACTTCCTTTTTCTTACCTGGTAAGGCTATAGTTCCTAATAGCAATTGCCACTCAGCTGTCCGCTTCAGATCGCCATCTGGAATGATACTCGAAATAATGGAAGCAGAGAATATCTGAAACAGATCTTCAGCTCATGGGAAAGGGAAATAGCATAGTAGCATGCATTACATTATTGGGATAGATAACCTAAGTATCGTTTGGAAATATTGTCCGTCAGTTGTGGAAAGAGAGCATGAGTACTGGACACATACAAAATCGAAAATAAACCAAGAACCGCAAGTACCAATCAAAGCTTTCCAATATCGTTTTAGGGTTAACCAGTAAGGGACCTTTCCTAAAGGAATAGAAATAGTAAGCGTATTTGTTAAATAGAGACACATTAAACTCCAGCTAACGTTTGATTGCTCCGCGTCTAAAAAGTTTGGACGTTAACATCCGAAGCCGAAAGAATAACACGGTAATAGGCAAGATAATGCCAAACCCAAAACAGACTCTCCACACGGTTGGAAGGTGATTTTCTCCTGCGGCAGAAAATACAATGAGAAAGACGGAAACGGCCAGAGGTCCTCCTAGACTGAGAACAAAATTGGTGACCACGACAAGCACTATACAATATTATAGTGACATTTAATTAGCGAGTACTATGTACGTACCTGGACCTCTAAATGCTGCCATACTTTCGTCCGCTGCTTCGGATGCGCTAGTCGAAGACGCTGGGTACTCACCGCCCACGCCGACTCCAGTAATACCTCGCGCAAAGGTAAGAAACCAGAATAATCCAGTGATACTGCTTCTAGATCCATGCGCTACAGTTCCTAATGTCGCGCCGAGGACAATGATTAAAGTAGTGCCAACCAGAGCCGTTTTACGGCTGACGCGATCGCATATAAGACCCACAAGAAGCATACCCACAATGTCTCCAATAAGAAGCGCATTAGAGACCCGAGTGGAAACCGTAGAAGTGTACTCTTGAGGATAGAGTCTCCGGAAGACAACCTGAGAAATAAAAAATGGCATGAATAAATACCCAAAAAGATATCTCGTTGCAGGCAAGCCCACATTTGACATAGTCATAAGACTGTTTTGGTCTGAAAGAGAAGGTTGAAATTTGCCAAGAAATCTTGAAAATGTAAAAATGCTTACATCCGTCGCTGAGGAGGCCACAAGCTGAGGCGAGGATAGTGAAATACGCACTAATGCCCTGCTTATAGCTAAGTAAGCTTCGATTATCCTGGACAACCAACTCTTCCAGGTGGATCTCGTCACTTTTCTTCGATTTAGTATCCGAAATACCCATAGACGAGGCATGATCGAATTGTCCAGGGGAAGACAAAACCATTCTGTCAATCTGTGATTCAAGGGGACTTTCGAGAATACCTTGAAAACGTATTTATACAATCTTCATTACCTGGAGAGAAGACAGAGAATCAATAGTTCACATATGAATTGAACGAACGTGCGTGGGGTAAGGTGCCAGTGGGCTGTCAGTCGAAAGCGCGAAGCATCCTCTATAAATGGTAAACATGAGACCGCGTCGGCAGCCAGAGGCATACCAGAATATCTTTAATAGCACAATTAGAACTGAGTCCAAGTTATCACTTGGAATGATGCCTTCGAAATATCATTGCAATTTGGAAGAAAACCTACGCCACACGCCACCGAAGCCGCTCAGGCTTTTTTTGTGCGTGAGTGTCTTCAACCTGTTTCGAGCAGCCTGAAAATACGAGTTGAATTTGAGAGGCGACTGCAGTGAGTCTTCGTAGGTTTCTCAGCTGAAAATCTACGATAGAGGTCAAGCGCAGAATTAGCTGTGTGTGAGGAAATGACCTGGTGTAAAGTATACGTTCGGCAAGAGTTTGAACGTTTGTGCACATGGAAGCGTCTCTTTGAATAGATAATATGGATATCTCTTCTTTAGATTAAACAACATAACTTAGCAAATGAAATATGCATGCGCATGCGCACTCCATAGAATGCCATACAGCCAGAATAATAATCAAAATAGCTCTATCGCGTCGATCCGTTCCACGGCGTTGAATCTACCCAATTCGAACGTGAAGGATCACCAGGTGGCCCACGAGATCGGACCTGAGTAGATGATCTGCATGAAAAATTAATCCAAAAATACAATTAAGATTGAACTGTCAAACTTACGAAGGGCCACCACCTGGTCGCAAATTCCGCGGGATATCAGCAGACGGCCTTGGGAATGAAGAATTACTTCGTATTGAAGGCTCTCTAGACTGAGTCGGAGGTGGCACCCATACTCTCTCGGCGCCCATTTGTCTAGTCGGTGCGACTCCAGGTCTAGATGCCTGTCTCTGAATTTGTGCATTGGGAGGAGGCGGACCAATCCAGCTGTTGAGTCGTTGAGGCCGGGCAGCTTTAAGGGCAGGTTCAATTGAATCGGGTCTTCTGCAACATGAAACCATGCCTGTGAGAGAATTAGTAAAATAGATGTCAAGGCGATGTTGTCAAGCTCACATCGTATTAAGAAATAGAGGAGAAGCAGGAATGTCACGCCTGCGACCACAGTCACAGGAATAGAGATCTGTAAGTTGGACAGGTACCATGACTGCGCGCAAATTAGCGATTTACATAAACATTTTTCGTTCAATGTATCATACCTTTGCAGTATCGAACAAAGTACCACTCTGACATTTGCCGCTCATGCACATTCCGCCATATCCTAACGAAATTATGAGGTTTAAGATGAATATTGACAAATTTCTTTCACCTACCACAGGGTGAACCATCGATTAGTTGTGCTTGTAGAACCAAGCACCGGCTTGAATCGTCAGGGTCTTGACAAGAAACCTGACAACTGGTATCTCCTTTGCTGTCACAAGCTTTGCTGAGTTCCATAGAAGCTCCGACTGTTGCACATTGACCTAATACAAAGTTTAGCTCATCGTAATGGCAATATAAGTGGCAACTAACGGGAAGGCGATGTGCACTGTCCGCTTGCACAAGCTAGACCATCACCACAACTCAAACCTACAAGCCATCGCGTCAGAAGACTCAACAAGCCAAATAATCAGCATCCTTACCGTCGGGTTTAGTCTTATCCCAAGGGCATTGTCCTGAGGTACCCGTACACATCTCTGGAGTGTCACAGACACTACTCAGGGCTGGCCGACATACTTGGGTACTCGGAGCGAAATGGCATTGTGACGTACAACAGCTGCTACTGGCTGGATCGCAAACTGCTCCAGAGGTGAACTTGCAAGTTGCGGCATTGCAACATGTCGAATTTGTTCCTGGTCCCGGATCGCACTCTTCTCCTTCCTCGACGATGCCATTTCCGCACATCTGGAGTGATAAGATCTTCATACTGGGATTGGGGGCCTGGAGACAGGTGAAGTCTGCTTTACGGGATTGCATGACGGAGCCTGCAGGATATCATTAATAGTAGTCCAAAGCATAAAACGTTTGTCTTACAGATATTTCCTAAAGAACAGGGCGAAAACTGCATTTCTATTGTGGAAGCCGTGGGGCTCATGATGAAGGACGCATTGCTGTCACACTGTCCCATGGAGAGCGGACAACAATTAGTGCTGCTTGAGTTGCATCCGGACACACACTAGAGTAGGGGAATGATCAGCCAAAGGTAAGTAAACTATATCCAATCTTCCTACATCATGCTAGAAATAGAAGTGATAAGCATTCAACTACCTTGCAAAAGCTGACCTGCACTTACAATTGCACCAAAGTTATGTCCAATCTCATGGGCTACAACTTGCCATTCAGCTCTTCCAGCCGTGGTAACAGCAGCTCCAGAGACCTCTTGTCCGGGAGCTCCGGTGACATTCGTCTGACAAAGAGTTCCCAACCAAGCAACACCGACCTCAGTGCCAGTTGGACACCCACTCATTAGATGCCATAGTCCAGCACCATCGGCACCTTTAGTACCACGCCATTTAGAGAATGCTGAAAGACGATTGTCGAGCGTCA